GCAACCCTACCGTTTCACTCAACACCTTTCACAGTGCGCTACAGAACTTTGCTTCAGTTACAGGACTAAAGGTGAATCACAACAAGACGATGGTCTACCCAATTAAGCTTCTTGACTCAGAAGAAAGATCAATTAAATTAAAGTTCAACTTCCAATGGGTCCAAAACTCCCTCCAATATTTAGGAATCAAAATCCCTTTAGATCTTTCGGAACTAGTCAAATTAAATCATACGACGATACACAAAGAAGTGAAACAGACAATGTTATCTTGGAACTCAAAACCTCTGTCCTGGCTCGACAGAATAGCAATTGCCAAATCCTTCATTCTCCCAAAATACTTGTACCTATTCAGAACAATACCCATATGCATTCCACCACAAAGTGTACAAAAATGGCAAAAAGAGCTCAACCTTTTCATATGGAACAGAAAACGAGCAAGGATTGCCAAACACACTATGAGGCACCCACGAAGGAAAGGGGGATTGGCTTCACCAGACCTTGACAGCTATAGGAAAGCTGCAATCCTAGCATCATTAATACGCCAATACCATGATAACGACTCCCTAGACTGGAAAATCATTGAAGAATCAAGTATACCCCAGGCCTCATTTCAAGAATTACTATGGCACAATACATTCAAAGAAATAGGAAACCATACTAAAAATTTATTCACTAAAGCAGCCCTTAAAACTTGGTATGAAGTCAAACCTAAACTCATTACCAAAAATTCTAAATTCAGCACCTTCACAAGACAAACATGGTTCAAACCCGCAGAATCACCCCTCACTTTTGAAATTTGGAGAGCCAAAAAGTTTAATAGAATACTCGATGTCTTCAGCAAAGGCAAAATGGTCTCGAAAAATGACTTAGAAACCAAACACCAAACCAAAATTAACTGGTACGAATACTTGCAAGTGCAAAACTTAATTCACACGCCAGATATCCTATCAGCCAGCAGAACCCCACACACCAAATTAGAAGACTTATTGGGAAAACCCCCACCAAAAAAAGGACTTATAGCTAAGCTTTATGAGAACATTGTCTCCACCCTGAATAACAAACCACATGCGTATCAAAAAGCATGGGAGACGAATCTCAATACCCAATTATCAGACGATCAATGGGAGGAAATATGGCGAACTCAGTCTAAAATCTCCAAAACAAGAGGAGTACAAGAAACTAACCTAAAGATACTTACCCGATGGTACCTAACGCCCGTAAAACTGTCTCATATATATCCATCAACGTCACCATACTGTTGGAAACAATGCGGGGAGAAAGCGGACTTCTACCACAATTGGTGGACCTGCAAAGAAATACAAAAGTTCTGGTCCCTAATACAAGCTCAAATCCAAGGCCTAATTGGCACAAACTTACCTTTATCACCAGAACTGATGCTTCTTCATCTTTGGCCGCCAACCCGTCCTCCTGAAAGAACAAAACAATTGGTAAATTTACTTCTAATAGCGGCCAAAATGACAATAGCAAAAAACTGGAAAAATAACCGCATGCCGACAGTTACGCAATGGATAAATAAAATATGGGACATATTCATGTTAGAAAATCTTTCAATATATGATTCATCTATTAAAAATGAATGTGATTTCTATAACCCTCTCAGCATATGGTACCCAATTCTAGAAAAAATTACACTAGACGACTTTAAGTGGGAAAGTATAGTCAATGCGAAATACAAATTAATGCGATTTAACTAATATGCTAGTGAAAACGATAAAATCACTGCAGTTGACTTCCTACTGTTAGAAGTATTACTACAATTATTGAAATATCAGTCATATTCGAGTTAATGTGATATGTTTATCTCACCCTGTTCAGTTATTGCAACGGTTGTATGTTCACACCTTACCGGTCACTTATTACAATGTATTATAAAAACCTTTCAATAAAACATTGTTTTAAAAAAAAAAAAAAACCAAAAGTCTCAAAGGCACAATTCAGTGTCCTTCAGCCTTTACTTCTCCTTTTCCCTTCTCTTCCGCAACTTGTAAGGACTTTTGGAGCTGCCGCCCCCTTGCTCAGACAGAGAGTCCTCTCCGGAAGAACCAGTGTCCAGCTCACGACTGGACTTGCATATTAGGTGACACACCCCTACTGTAGCCAATCCTCCAAGAGGTTACAGAGCTCTTCTTACAGGGGCTACTGTAAGCTCTTGGAGGATTGGCTACGTTAGGGGTGTGTCGCCTAATATGCAAAGGAGTTCCTGCTACAAAAAAGAGCCCTGCACAGGTATCCAAGTATCAGGAAGTTGCAATAGCCTTTGATAGATTCCAGGGTAGGCCCTGTTTTTATGTTGAGATGTTAAGTGTTAAGTGCGGCTCCTCAGTCAAATGCCTGGTGGAAGAGCCTCGGCTTGTAGGCCCTGCAGTTCTTACAAGTCTTGGGTTGCCGTTGAACTCTCCGGGGCCGTGCTCCCCCCAGGTCTCGACGATCCTCGACATCTTCTACAGCCGCCTGCCCACCATCAAGGAGGAGTCCTTGCGGCAGGTCCTGGTGGACGCCATTTCTATCGTGGCACACTATCACTTGGACGCGGTGTTCAGCAGCCTCCTGGGACGGCGCCTCCCCATGGACAGGTGGGGGACAGGGTCTAGCTGGTGATTTGAACATGGGAGGGGGTGGAGCCATCCTGAAGGTTGGCGTTGCAGACCCATTCAATGGAGTCCGGGGATTTAAGCTAGTGGAGTCCAAGAAAAATCAAGGTGATGAGAGGGCTATTTTTGGGCAGGAACGCACAGGAACAGAATTCCGTCTGGCTTCAGAGCTGGCCATGCCCACCACAGACAAAACCTCTGTGTACGTGGCTACAGGTGGAAGGCCTGGAGAACAAAAAAACCCCTAGCAACTCCAAGGGGCCATGGGGGGCCCTGGAAGGATTGGGGAGGCATTTAAATGCCTCCCCGTGCCTTTCCCGGCTTGTCCAAGGGCCGGCTTGTGGTGTGATCGGGCCCCAAAAATCCACTCGACATTTGTGCCTTTCATGCGGCAAAATCTCCATGTGACCGGGGCCGTAGTCATATGCAAGACTAGGGTTTTTTTCCAAGGGGTGCCATAAAAGGGAGAGTACCTTACATTTTCATACATATTAGGCGACACACCCCTAATGTAGCTAGGGTTGCCAAGTGAATTTCACTCACCAGCGGGGGAGCCTCGCCGCGTGCCGGGAGCCATCCCTCGCCATGTGCGCGCGTCACCAGCATGCGCACGTCGCCAGCACATCACCGGAAGTGACGCGCGATGTCGATCACGTTGAGGGTGTGGCCCCGATCGTCGGAGGGAAAACCATAGAGTTTTCCTTCCAACGATTGGGGCCACACCCTCAACATGATCAATGTGGTTGCGCCACGCTGCGCTTCGGGGGGCGGAGTTCCCCCCGGGGCCCGATTCCACGGCGGCGGAAATCGGGCCTCCAAAGCGGGGGTTTACCCGCCACCCACCCCCACTTGGCAGCCCTAAATGCAGGCAGTCCTCCAAGAGCTTACAGTAGCCCCGGTAAGAAGAGCTCTGTAAACTCTTGGAGGATTGGTTAGATTAGGGGGATGTCGCCTAATATGCAAAGGAGTTCCTGCTACAAAAAGAGCCCTGCATACCAGTTGCTTGTGGGCTGGGTAAGAGCCGTGGATGGGCCAGTTCCAACCCCCGGGGCCTTATGTCTGACACTCCTGTGCTAAAGAATGCCGTTTCAATCTACTTCAGCAACCGCTTGCAAGTGGATTCCTTCCACGTAACAAAGATGGAGTTACCCAGGCCATCCACCTATTTAATCTCCACCCCCAGAATCCCCAGGTATTTCCAAGCCCGGAGCTGGCAACCCATCACTATGGCCACAAACCCCACCTAACCCTCTAGGTCAGGACGGTACCTTGTACACACAGCTGCGGCACGCGAAAGGAATGGATGATTGATGTGTGACATCTGCCACCATGATCCTGCCCTTTTCCCATCCCAGACTAGGTTGGAAAACTCCGGGGGGTGGGGGGTGGAGATGGAGCTTGGGGAGGCCAGGGACCTCAGCGGGGTACAATGCCCCAGAGCCCACCCTCCAAAGCAGCCATTTTCTCCAGGGGAACCGATCTCTGTAGTCTGGAGATGGACTTTAATCCTGGTAGATTCTCAGTCCCCACCAATGTTCCCTCTAAGCTGTGGAGTCTTGTGAGCAAAGATTCTACTTTGTGAGCTACTGGCATTAACGTTGTGAGCGAGCGATTTGGCTGCTGCATAAGTTAGTTTGCTCTGGAGCCATCCTTTCTGAGCTAAGGCAAAGATGGGTGAGCCGGAGGCTGAAAAACTGTGAGCTAGCTCACACTAACTCAGCTTAGAGAGAACACTAGTCCCCACCTAGAGGCTAGCATCCCTAGGATTTCCCCTTGTCAGCTGCTAATGCAGTGGAAGTGGTATGGGAGGGCAGGAGAAGGTGGGACAGGAAGGGTTGTGGGACCCCATCTTTGCCCCCCCTTCTTTCCCTTCCAGCACTAGCAATACCTTCTGTGTTTTTTTTCAATTGCAGCGAGACAGGGGAACTCTGGAGGTCTTTAGGCAGGGACCTTTTCCTGGCTGTGCTGATTCTCCACCGGTTAGCCGCCACGGTCATGCAGCCGCCCAGCTCAGAGACGGTGTCAGCCACGGGCAGTGACGAAACCTTGGTTTTCGCCGACGAGGAGCCTCTCAAAGTACGTTGGCAGTGAAAACATCTCGAGAACTTTTCCTCTTTGCCTGGGCAGGTCATCGGAGACAGGGCTTTCTTTCAAAGGAGGGAGTGGATCCAGCCTGTTCTGTTTTGCTTTGAGGTCAGCTACCAGAACGGCATTCCAGTGCACACGATGTCTTGTAAAAATCTTTCTTATCCTCTTGCAGACTGAGCCATATCCTGAAAAAAAAAAGTATCTGAACCGAACCGCAAAGCAAAATTCGTCACAACTTTTGTCCTGTTTGTGGTTTGCGAACCGAAGTTCGTGACGGGTATACCGTCACGAACTTCTTGGAACTTTTAAAGCAATTCATGTTGGTTCATGGATAGAGCAGAAAGTAGCCTAACCTATCTCACTCGGTTGTTGTGTAAGTAAAATGGAAGTGGAGGGGAAAATGCATGCTGCCCTAAGTTCCTTCAAGGAAGGGGGGGAAGAAATGCACATAAACTAATTTTATTTGAGATGAAGCACTAGGTCAGGCCACAACTGGGGCTCAATTTCGCTATGAGGTTAATAAATAAGAACATAAGAAGAGCCCTGCTGGATCAGATCAGTGAACTATCTGTTTCAGCATCCTGTCTCACACAGTGGCCAACCAGTTCCTCTGGAGGGCCAACAACAGGGCAGAGAGGCCTAGGCCTTCAGAAGAACATCAGAAGTGCCCTGCTGGATCAGACCAGTGGTCCATCCAGTCCAGCATCCTGTCTCACACAGTGGCAAACCAGTTCCTCTGGAGGGCCAACAACAGGGCAGGGAGGCTGAGGCCTTCATAAGAGCATCAGAAGAGCCCTGCTGGATCAGACCAGTGAAGGTCCATCTAGTCCAACATTCTGTCTCACTCAGTGGCCAACCAGTTCCTCTGGAGGTCTAACAACAGGGCACAGAGGTCTTCATAAAAACATCAGAAAAGCCCTGCTGGATCAGACCAGTGAGGGTCCATCTAGTCCAGCATCCTGTCTCAGACAGGGGCCAACCAGTTCCTCTGGAGGGCCAACAACAGGGCACAGAGGCCAAGCCCTTCATAAGAACATCAGAAGAGCCCTGCTGGATTAGACCAGTGAGGGTCCATCTAGTCCAGCATCCTGTCTCAGACACTGGCCAACCAGTTCCTCTAGAGGTCCAGCAAGAGGGCAGGGTGGCCAAGGCCTTTCCCCAGTGTTGCTGCCTAGAGCTGAGTTTCATATCTGTTCTACCTCTGAATGTGGAGGTTCTCCCAGACTGCTTTGATTTCTAGAGATCAGGAAGTTCTTCTCCCAGCGGGAGATTCTAGCGTTCCAGTTCTTCCACTTCCCTGTCCTCCACTGGCACTGCCCCAAATCTCCAGGAATGTCCCAAGCCACAGTTGGCAACCCTAGAGAGGAAACTCAACATACAAACAAACCCTGCGATATGACCAACATTAGTATGATAGTTTTTAAAAACTTTATAAGATAGCAAAAATTCTCAATTGTACAATATTGTAAAAAAAGTCCAACATAATCCAACATTATGAGTACCCGGTTATGAACTCATTTCAACTTTACAGTCTTCCTCAGATGTAATCCTATATTGTCAGGAGGTATCATCTTCAGCTCAGTATTGTAATTCTTAATTCCTTCATAATATCCTGGAATAAACCATAATCAATGAAAAACCACATGTAGCTGCATGGAAAATAGACCAGATCTCGCCAACCCTTCGCGATAGGGAGTTGCATCGAAACCCTAGAGAGGAGCCTTGGGTCATAGTGAAACTTCCCTCAAACAGCTCCCTTGCTAGCGTTGCCAGCTCTGGGTTGGGGAATCCCTGGAGATTTGGGGGCAGTGCCTGGGGAGGGCAGACTTTGAGTGGGGAGGTCAGCAGAGACAGGATGCCCTGAAGTCCACCCTCCAAAGCTTGATCTCTATAGCCTGGAGAGCATCCTTGATTCCAGGAGAACTCAAGCTCTCAACTGGAGGATGGCATCCCTGACTCCTCCCTCCCTCTCTCTCGCTCTCTCTGCAGGCCACCTGTGCCATCTATGAGGTCATGTCCATGCTGCCAACTGGGGAAGTCATCCAGGAGTTGTTCCCGGCACTGTTCTGCCCTCTCCTGCAACAGGTCAGCAAAACCCTGGGCCAGAAGATGCCTTCTTACGAAGGACGCCGGAGACTGTTCCTGAGAGAACAGCACCTGAGTGAAGGCAACCCTTGCAGGTAAAGTGCGTGGAGAGAGAACTAGCACAGCGGAAGTGTGCTGGGCCCATAACCTATTGAGGTTAACTGGTGTGGTTAGTCCAGTCACAGGCTATAGCCTCCAAAATATGTTCAATTGGCATTGATCTGGACATCTTGGAAAATCAAGATGAGAATTTCATATATCGGACAACCCATAGAAGAATCTGGGACATCGAAGCCCAAGTAATCCAAGCTGGTGCCGGGGGTACTTGTTCCCCCCTTTCCCTCAGTCTCAGATATGTACCAAATCGTATGGCACAATACTTTTCTAACTTGGTGATCCCGCTGCAACGCAGAGCTTTTATGCGAGCCAGATTGAATGTTTTCCCCTCATCTTGGGTTTCAGGTACATACAGAGGTATTCCGAAATGTGATAGAATTTGTAATAGTTCGTCTGGAGAACCTGATACCCTAGACCACATCTTATTACGCTGCCCCCTCCACTCACATCGATTACTTTGGATTAAGCCCATACTAAAGGTAAAGGTAAAGGTTCCCTTGCTCGAAAGCCAGTCGAGTCCGACTCTAGGGTTGCGGTGCTCATCTCCATTTCAAAGCCGAAGAGCCAGTGCTGTCCGAAGACGTTTCCGTGGTCATGTGGCCGGCATGACTAAACACCAAGGCCCACGGAACGCTGTTACCTTCCCACTGAAGCGGTACCTATTTATCTACTTGCAATGTCTTGCTTTCAAACTGCCAGGTTGGCAGGAGCTGGAACTAGGGACGGGAGCAACTCGGGTCTCGAACTGCTGAACTACTGACCTTCCACAGCCTGCAGTTCAGCGTCTTAACCACTTGAGCCACCGCAGCTCCTTAAGCCCATACTGGCTAGGATTAATTCCGACAATGTAATTAGGTACCTTTTAGCTGATGAGTCACCTGAAATTACTGCCCAGATTGCTGAATTTTTGACCAAGATATTGACAGCAAGGAGTCGTTTTTTAATATTGACGTGTTTTAAGAAGGCACGTGTAACGATACCTGATGAAGTAATTTATTTATTGTTTTATATGCCGATAAAGGCGTTGTGTTGTATTGTATTGCTAGTCCAGTCACTGTGAGTTAGCAGAGCGCTTAAATAAAGCGACAAACGCAGGAGCGTCACTTTACCAGGGTACTCAGCTTACAAAGCTACACAGAGCCACGCTGCAAGTTTAGAAGAGAAAGACTCCTCCCTTTATTGGAGAAGTACACTTTTGGATAGGAAAGAGTAGGGACACGATAAAGTACTAACTTACTAGCTAAAGGATGGAGGCGGATGGCGAGAGGCCCATCTGCCTCATGGTATCAAGAGAGGACCGCAAAATTAAACCTTTTTGGACGGAAGTCCTGCAAAAAATAAAGCAAATTCTCAATCTAGAGTTAACACAGACTCCTGAAAGTCTAATGCTAGATATTTGGCCAGATATCATTGACCAACACCACCACAAACGTATACTCAAAACAATGCTTTACGCGGTAAGGACTTCTATAGCTTCAAAATGGAAAGACCCTAACCCACCAACCATTCAGATCTGGTGCCAGAAATTCTGGGACCAATATGTAATGGAAAGCATCATGGAAAAACGCAACAAAGCTGCTTCTGGGCACCAGGGCACGGGATTCAATGCAAAGTGGTTTCCAATCCTTACCTTTTTAGAAAAGGAAGAATTTATACCCCCTTCTTGTTCAGATTATTTTAGATGTTTCTGAAGGCAAACTAAAGGCAGTGTCCGATCCCTCACTGCTATAAGTCCAATACACGTTTAAGCAAAGTAGCATTTTATTAAAGCCATGTTAGAGCAGGAACAAGTTCACTGTTAAGAATACCTGGGACGGGCTGAACAGGGGATAATGAAAGACATTCAAACAGACAATAACCAATAGGCTTGGTTCCCGCCGCGCGGGCAGACTTTCGTATTCGCGCTCAAAAGCCTGAGAAGCAACGTTTCTATAAAGATAAACAATTGAAGCTTCACACGATCCAGCTCATTATAGTCTAAGCTAAGCGGCTCCTTCTCCCCCACCTGTTAATCTTGCAGATAAGCGTACACTAGCGTTCATAGAATGGAATGCATGACACAGGGATACACACAGAACACACAGGAGGCATGCGCAGATGCCAGAGGAGAGGGGGGGGGGGGTTCTATCCACAGACTTCAATGGCAACTAGCTGACAGGCAGGTACTAGCGTTCAATTCAAATTAGCAAAGCAAAATATCTAAACTATGGTCTTTAGGTTACCCTTGCCCCAGCAACTGTAAGAATGGTCTTACAACTTATCAGTGTCAAAATCCTTGATGTTCTCTCAATTCAACATTGTGATTCCGGAGATACAGAATGTTTTATAGCTATTTCTTTTTTTTTTAAGTTTTATTTATTGATTTTTATAAAACAAAGTTCTCAAATATACATACACCTACGAGTCATTTATACATTTTTCAACCATGTATACAATCCCGCCCATCTCTGCTCAAACAATTCTTCATGTTTCCCTTGTAACATTAAATTTAACTTGTCTATTTCTGCTATTTCCATCAACTTTTTAATCACTTCTTCTCGTTTTGGGGTAATCTCTTGTTTCCAATACTTTGCCCATAAGATCCTTACTGCCGTTATTATGTATAATATGACATATTTGTCATTATAATTTATGCCATCCGGAAGTAAGTTAAGTAAAAATATTTCCGGCACCAGGTCTAACTTCATTTTACATATTTCTTGTATCATTTTCTGTATGGATATCCAGTATTTTTGAATTTTTGGACACCGCCACCACATGTGATAAAAGGTTCCAACACTTGTTTTACATAGAATGTTTTATAGCTATTTCTGATTGGTTAATAATTTGTTAGAATTAATCTTGTTTCTAGATATTCATGTACCCAATTCTACTCTATATATTGTGCCATGTATAACGTTATCAAAAAAAGAAGTTGTTTTATGTTATCATTATGGTTGTATAAAATGCTCAGCTTCAGTAAAAATTTGAAATTTAAAAAAGAGAGAGAGAGAGAGAGAGAGAGAGAGAGAGAGGACCGCATGTCCCTCTCTTAGTGCATGCAGGGAGAGAGCAAGTCTTCATTCAGAGGGAGAGAGAAGCAGGAAAAGGGAAATTGGTCCCCGAGATTCCAGTCTGCGTATCAAAGAGGACAGTGGCAGAAGAGTAGACACAGGAAGAAAGGTCAGTGTGCCTATCTGGCTATCTAGTCTCTCTTGCCACTCAGTCCGGAGGTCTGAGGCAGGAGGACATCACATCTGGAACTTCCAACCAGAACGACCCAGAGGAAAGTGGTGTGGGCTCTTCTTTTTTTTTTGTCATTGGCTCAGGTGGTTAAGACGCTGAACTGCAGGCTGTGGAAGGTCGGTAGTTCAGCAGTTCGAGACCCGAGTGCCGCATGATGGACTGAGCTCCCGTCTCTCGTTCCAGCTCCTGCCAACCTAGCAGTTCGAAAGCAAGAAATTGCAAGTAGATAAATAGGTACCACTTCGGTGGGAAGGCAACAGCATTCCGTGTGCCTCGGCGTTTAGTCATGCCGGCCACATGACCAAGGAAACGTCTTCGGACAGCGCTGGCTCTTTGGCTTGGAAAACGGAAATGAGCACCGCAACCCTAGAGTCAGACTCGACTGGCTTTCGAGCAAGGGAAACCTTTACCTTTACCTTTAAGCACTCCTAGCCTGAACGGCTGCCCAGAGGCTGTGAACACCACCACCACCACCACCCACTGGGGTGCCAGGCCTCTTGCTAAGGTGGGAGGCCTTCCGCTGGCAACCCTAGTCGCCTCTCTGCCATTCTGAGCACTGGCAAGAGACTTTTTTGGAGACACCAGCAGCATCTGTAGTGCTGCATAACTTCCAGGGAAAACCTGGAAGTGAAGTAGGGTGAAAGATTATGCATGGGATAGAGCAGGTAGAGAAAGAGGTACTTTTCTCCCTTTCTCACAATACAAGAACTCGTGGGCACTCCATGAAATTGCTGAGCGGTCAGGTTAGAACGGATAAAAGGAAGTACTTCTTTACCCAAAGAGTGATGAACACATGGAATTCACTGCCACAGGAGGTGGTGGCGGCTACAAGCATGGACGGCTTCAAGAAGGAATTAGATAAGCATCTGGAGCAGAGGTCCATCAGTGGCTATTAGCCTCAAGGTATAGATAGGATGAGATGGTTAGACAGTGTCATCGATGCAACGAACATGAAATTGAGCCAACTTCAGAGGACGGCGGAAGACAGGAGGGCCTGGCGGGAGCTGGTCCATGGGGTTGTGAAGAGTCAAACTCGACTGTGCGACTGAACAACAAAATAGATAGGGGCTCTGGGGCAAGTGATGCTCTGTCTTCTTGGTGCTTGGGGGGGGTCAACAGTGGGAGGGCTTCTAATGTCCTGGCCCCACTGGTGGACCTCCTGATGGCACCTGGTATTTCTGGCCACTGTGTGACACAGAGTGTTGGACTGGATGGGCCTTTGGCCTGATCCAACTTTGGCGTCTCTTGTGTTCTTATGTTCTTAACTCTAGGAATGACAGGAAAACTCTATGGTGTAGTGGTTGGAATGTAGTAGATAGAGTTCTGGAGCAGGATCTGAGAGACCCAGGTTCAAATCCCGACTCTGCCATGGAAGCTTGCTCAGTCACCACACCCTTAGCCTAGCCCACCTCACAGGAAGGGTTGCCAGCAGTGTTCCCTGTAAGCTGAGTCAGTGTGAGCTAGCTCACACTTTTAGCCTCCGGCTCACACATTTTTGTCTTCGCTCAGGAAGGGATGGCTCCAGAGCATACTGATTTATGCAGGAGCCAAATCGCTCGCTCACCACTTTAACGCCAGTAGCTCACAAAGTAGGATTTTTGCTCACAAGACTCCACAGCTTAGAGGGAGCATTGGTTGCCAGCCCTGGAGATCTCTCGCTATTATCAAAAGAGTTTTCAGGTAAGCTTTAGGAAGAACTTCCTGACAGTTAGAGCAGTTCCTCAGTGGAGCAGGCTTCCCCGGGGGGGGGGGGACTCTCCTTCTTTGGAGGTTTTCAAACAGAGGCTATAGATGGCCATCTGACAGCAATGCAGATTCTGTGAACCTGGGCAGATCACGAGAGGGAGGGCAGGAAGGGTTGCCTCAGTGCTTAGTTCTCGTGGCCCTTTCTTACACGCCCCGGGAAAATGCCGATCACCACTTTTGGGGTCAGGAAGCAATTTTCCTCAAGGCCACTTTGGCTGGAGATCCTGGAGGTTTTCTGTCATCTTCTGGGCATGGAACAGCAGTCACTGAGGGGGTGTATGTGTGTGTGGGGGAGCAATGTTCTCTCTAAGCCATGGAGTCTTGTGAGCAAACACTCTACTTTGTGAACTACTGGCATTTAAGTTGTGAGCCAGCAATTTGGCTACCGCATCAATTACTTTGCTCCGGAGCCCTCCTTCCTGAGCTAAGACAAAAATGTTTGAGCTGGAGGCTAAAAAACGGTGAGCCAGCTCACACTAACTCAGCTTGGAGGGAAGACCTGGGGGGGAGAGAGAGATATTTGCAAATTTCCTGCATTGTTCAGGGGGTTGGACTAGATGACCCTGGAGGTCCCTTCCAACTCTGTGATTCTACAATTGAGCTCCAGATGAACCAGATCAGTTCCCCTGGAGAAAACGGCTGCTTTGCAGGGTGGGCTCTATGGCATTATCCCATGCAGAGGCCCCTCCCCTCCCCAAATCCCACCCTTCCCAGTCTCCACCCCCAAAAATCTCCAGGGATTTCCCAACCCAGAGCTGGCGACCCTACACAGGATTATTGTGAGGATAAAATGGAAGGGAGAATGTTGTAAGACACTTTGGTCCTCCATTGGGGAGAAAGGTGGGGTATTGATGAAGTAAATACATAATTACGAACATAAGAAGAGCCCTACCTCTGCTTAGGGACCTTCTTGACCTTCGTTGGTGGTCTTCCACCAAGGGTAGGGTGCTCAGTAGGGACCTGATGCCATAGACTCCACCCACCGAAGTGACTGTTTTCTCCAGGGGAATTGATCTCTGTAGTCTGGAGACGAGTAGTAATTCTGGGAGAACTCCAGGTCCCACCTGGAGGTTGAGAACCCAAAGATAGAGGCCTGTACTCAAACTTAAGATGAATTTGTGTGCAATGAGTTCCCTAACATGTACATGACAGGCACATATATTTTGGAGGCCCATCTTAGATAGCCATACTGTTATGTACGTGGACCGCCACCAGGGGTCCGCGGAACAAGCCAGAGCTTGGATCCTAGAACAATGGAAACTTCGGATCCCGGATCCCGGATCCCCCAGCCCCAACCAATAGCCACCTTGGCGGGACATTCAAACCCTCCAATGGGAATGGGGGGTTGCTGGGTGGATATGTATATAGTTGGCCCTGTTGGCCGTTTCTAGTTAGGCTTTGTTTGTGTGAAGTACAATAAACGCGTGCTACCGTATGTCGTCGTCCGAGTCCTCCATGCGGCGAACCCAGTACTTTTCACATACTTTCAGAGTCCCCCTAACTTCTTGGGAGCAGAGGAACAGCCAGTTGTTTTACCCTTCTGAGCTATGCTCTCGTTCCACTTTCGAAGTTTCTGTGGCTTTTGTCTGTTTATGATTCTGACGCTGTTGTGTGTCTCCTCGTGCATCACAGGCTTTCCGTGGCCAGCCTGAAGACTCTGCTGTTGAAGCTGACCTCTGAGCCATCGCTAGTGGAAACGGGGGGAGTGAGTATGTGGGTTTTACTGAGGGATCCCAGCACCCACCAGGAGGGGGTTTGTCTGCTGACCAGGTAAGGAAGTTGAGGGTCAGTCTCTTCCCACTTTATTTTAGCCCTTTTCAGATATTCCGGAGGGGGAAGGGATAATGAATGCCCACTAGAGGGCAGTGAGATCTCAGGAGCAAGTGCCACCCCTGGATCTAATGATGTATCAACCAACCAGGAGTCCTTTTAGTATTGTGTTTGAGTGGGGTTTAGTGTGCCTACAGAGAACAAATTTCCAACACAGAGAGAAATAAGTAATTTATTAAAAAGAAAATGTCTGCACAGATACTCTGGACGTCAATGGATTGGACAAGGAGGCAAAGTAAAGGTGCATATGTGAGACCCTCTGTCCCTCCGCTATACATGCCCTGACTGTTGTTATTCTAGGGTAGGCTGTTTAAAGTTAAAATCATGGCATTTTATCAGTTATCAGTCTTTGTCTGGTCTGCCTCCCTTTTGTTAGCTCCACACAGTAATGGTGCATATCAGGATGGAGCCCTGGTGTGAGGGTTCCTCACTGCAAGTTATCCACAGCTGGCATCAGCCAAAATGGACCTCGTTCCCCTCGTGTCCAAGGAATTTATCGCCTCTTTTTTTGCCCACTCCCTGTGGGTCATTCCTTCTCTTCCTGTCCTTCCCAGGCATCTGGCATTTGGTATTCCCCAGTCTCTGTCTCCTCCTAGGTGTCACATTATCGGTGGGGTGTAAAATGGCCCCCTTGATTGTTCTTTGCTAGCTACAAACATTTATATAACTAAACGTTAAGTACTGAATGCTTGGGAGAGTCATCAATGTAATGACTGAGGCTGGAGAACCATTAACCTCTGTCCTGTTTTTTGCCCATTTACTAATAGAGAAACTTCTTGGAACAAAGGCGGCGGGGGGGGGGGTTGCTGCCCTGAACACTTCCTGTAGGCCAATGTAGCTGAAAGTGAAGGGCATTTCTATGCACATACAAACATGTACTGGAATATTGGAGAAAGTTTTCTTAGTTTATATAAAGGCAGTCAAGCAAGATTAGTCCTGTCTCTCTAGGTAAAGGTAAAGGTTCCCTTGCTCAAAAGCCAGTCGAATCTGACTCTAGGGTTGTGGTGCTCATCTCCGTTTCAAAGCCGAAGAGCCAGCGCTGTCCGAAGACGTTTCCGTGGTCATGTGGCCGGCATGACTAAACACCAAGGTGCACGGAACGCTGTTACCTTCCCACCGAAGTGGTACCTATTTATCTACTTGCAATTTCTTGCTTTCGAACTGCTAGGTTGGCAGGAGCTGGAACTAGAGACAGGAGCTCACCCCGTCTTGCGGCATCCGGGTCTTGAACTGCTGAACTACTGACCTTCCACAGCCTGCAGTTCAGCGTCTTAACCACTTGAGCCACCGCAGCTCCTCCTGTCTCTCTACAGCACCAGTAAAAAGCATTGTTAGCTTTTTTTTAATGATTTATTCCCTCTCCTAAAAAGGAGAGATATTTCGCTTAAAAATTAGAAAAAAAGGGAAAGGTATACAGAGGGATAAAGAAAAGATTGAGTGGTGTTAATGTATTAGTATATTACTCTTTTATTATTAAAAGTTAGTAGTCCATAGTTTCTTCTACCGCCAGACATTCTTCTTTTCTTCTGTTTCTGTTGAATATGGCAATTAGTATATTAGTAATGTCCTTCTGGGATTAGTTTCTCTTCGAAAGTGTAATCCGGAAAAAAAAGAAAAAAAGAAAGTTTTAAACTTTGGGGTCCTTTCCTTTCTTATCTCTCAGGTTATATTTCAGTCCCGTCGCTGCTCCGCCTTCCTCGTCCTTCACCTCTCCCTCCGAGCTGCTGTCTTCCACGCTTAATGATGACATCCACTTGGCCAATTCTGCTCCTTCTTCTTTACTGGCGTGCCTTTTCAAAAATTCTTGAGCCTTGAAGATAGAGTCTATTTTTTCTCTTTCGTCTTTAAACTTGAAAACCAGTCCTTCGGGCACCAGCATAAAATCTGGTCCCTGAGACGTTGTTTTGTAAATTTCACAACCACTTCTGCTGGCAACTTATTTTTTCTTGTGAAATTGGAGTAGGCCCTATAGACCATATCCATTTCTTCTTTTATTTTTCCCGCTTCGTTGCCAGTCA